GGGAAGCCCGGCAGGCCGGAAACTTTACTGCAAGTGGTGGGAAGCCCCGCAGGCCGGACACTTTGCTGCAAGTGGGGCGCGCGGGTGCCCATCTGGCAGTAAAACTACAGCACTCTCAATACTCCCCACCAGGGCGGTTAGCCTGGGTTGGCCTGGGGCGCGGCGCCTGCGACCCACCCGCGACCCGCCCGCTTCGCGACCCGCCCGCCGCGACACATCGGCCCCAGCACCCGTCTCGGCGGAGGGGGCGGAAATTCTTGGGGGCCCCAGAAGGAGGGGGAGGAAGGCCCCAGAAGGGGGCTAGGAGCCCCCGGATTGTCGAGGGGGACAGGGGCCGACATCTTGACAGGAAGGGGCCCCTCTTGGGGCCCTCTTGGAGCCATCTTGGCTCTCTTGGAGCCCGCGTGGGATCTCTCCTTGCGAACGCTCCCGCCAGGGCTCCTCCAGGAGGAGGGCCCCCAAGAAAAGGAGCACCCAGCCCTCTGGGGGCTCTCTTGGCCATGGGGGCCGGCTTGGGGCCGTCTTGGAGCCACGGGAGGGCTCCTAGAAGGCTCTACCAGGGCCGCGTAGCCAGGTGTCCGCCCCCTCTTGCCTGACACTTGGCCCCGAGGCCCTCTTGGGCCATCCTGGGGCCTTCTTGCCCCCCCCAGAGCATGTCCACACTCGCCCCGCATTTCAGCAGATGATGGCGGGAGGGCGGGGTCGGGCCATTTCAGCAGGCAGGAGGAGGAGGTGGGCGAACTCCACAACTCACCAGTCCCCCTCCTCCTCGCGCGCTCCGCGTCTCCAGCACGAAGGCCATTGGTTTCTTCACCATGATGTATTGCAAGTTGTGGAACACGATGACCCCGCGCCCACCTGCCGCCGATGGGCGAGGAGCGGCGGGGAGGGGGCTCGAGGAGAATGGGAAGTGAAGAGGGTGACGAGGAGAGGGGACAGTAGGGGGATAAGGGGGAGAAGGAGGAGGGAACATATCACGTAGGGAGGAGGAGAATGAAAAGGAGGGGGGAGGAGGAGGAGAAGGTGGAGGAGGAGAAGGAGGAGAAGGAGGAGGGGGAGGAGGAGGAGGAGGAGGAGGAGGAGGAGGAGGAGGAGGGAGGGAGGAGGAGAGGGGTAAGGGGGAGGAGACAGGGGGGAGAGAGGGATAAGAAGGGAGGGGGAGGAGAAGGGAGGAGGACAGGGATATGGAGCAGGAGGAGGAGGAGGAGGAGGAGGAGGAGGGATATGGAGGAGGAGAGGGATAAGGAAAAGAGAAGGAGAAGTAGCCCACGTGAACCAGGGGCGGGCAAAGGGGCATTTCGCCCAGAGCCACGTGGATCTCGCACTCCTTCTTTAAGTCCAAGCCCCGAGAATGGCTGACAAGGGAAGCCGCACACATAGAGATCCGCCGCCGCGCTTGCGCGGCAGTGGCGCGTTATAATGCCCGTGAGCTGTCTGGTGAGGTTTGTGTAATCCCACCGGCGCTGTATTAGGGTGGAAGTGGTTTAGAGCGTTCCCTCTGCCAACCCCATTCTTCCCTGCCCTTGCCCCATCACCCATGCCCCCATGCCGCTAGACCTGAAGGGGGGGGGGGGGGGGGGGGGGGGGGGGGGGGGTCGCGAGGCGTGGTGTTTTTTTTGTTTGCCCAAGACGGCTCCAAGAAGGCCTCGGAGAGCCCAAGATGGACGTCCTGTCCTCCTCCTCCTCCTCCTCCTCCTCCTCAACCTCCTCCTTCTCCTCCTCATCCTCCTCCTCCTCGTCCCCCTCCTCCTCCCCTCCTCCTTCTCCCCCCCCTCTCATCCCCCCTAATCCCCTCCTCCTTCTCCCCCCCCTCATCCTCCTTACCCTGATCATTATCATCGTCATCATGGTCACCGCCGCCATCCTCATCGATTCGAATAGCGGCCGCCGAGAGTGCTGGAATGACAAGGCGGCGGGACTTGCCGCAGGCATCTGGATCTACTCCGGGCGTGGGCTCCACGTCGCGCTGCGTGAGGTCCCCGTACAGAACGCACAAGTTGGGGAAGTTCCCCTCCAACAAGCGCCGAGCCGAGGGCTCGACCTCCGATGCAAACACAGGCAGGACTCGATCCTTGATGCCCAGCATCTCGATCGCAATCATGGCAGTGTCCATGCCAGTGCAGTCCGTCCCAAACAAGAACTTAAAACGACCCGTATGAGCTTGCGCGAGAGCATCTGGTCGGAGGAGCTTGACTTCGGGCACCTTGGCTTCGGGCACCTTCTTCGGCCTCGCCTTCTTCATCGGCTGCTTCCTCGGCTTATCAGCAGGGGCTGCCGGCCGCTTGCGGGGGGAGGCACGCGGGGCGGCCGCCGGCCGCTTGCGGGAGACACGCGGGGCGCTCGGCAGAGGCCGACCATCAGGCGCGGCGCAGAACCCCCAGTCGTCCATCGGACTGCGCCCGCCGGGTGATCCCCAGCCTTGATTCCAGGCGGCTGCGGCTGAATAAGGGGTAAGAAGAGTGGGATCCCAACGATAAAATTGTAGTCGACCGGCTTGGGTTGGTTGTGAGCCCGTCTTGGGTTATTAGGCAGTCTTCCTGGGTTAGGCCGTTGTGGGCCGTCGTGGGTTCGGCCGCATGGTCAGGTTGGGCCGTCTTGGGCAGTCTCGGATCAGGCCGCCTTAGTTTATGCCGTCTTCTTGTGCCGTATTGGGTCCGACCGTCTTGGGCCGTCTTGGGCCAGGATGATTGGCCCCCCTTGACATTATTCCTCCGCCCCGGCTTGACCCCTGGCGGGAGAGAGGGCGCCCGGACCCCAGGAGCCCCGCTGAGCATGGTCTCTGAGCGGCGGCGCCCGGCGGAACGCTTCAGCAGCACGTGGGAAGCGGCGGCAGCGGCAGAATCAGCCCAGCAGCAGGACACAAGGAGAAGAGGAGAGGAGGGCATGCGAGATTGCGGTGAGCGGGGGAGCGGGGAGAGTAGGAGAAGGGAGGAGCGGGAAGGAGGGAGAGAAGAAGGAGAGAGAGGGGGAGAGAGAGAGAGAGAGGGGGAGAGGGAGGGAGAGAGAGAGAGAGAGAGAGAGAGAGAGAGAGAGAGAGAGAGAGAGGGAGAAGAGAGGAAGAGAGAGAGAGAGAGAAAAAAAAAAAAAAAAAAAAAAAAAAAAAAAAAAGAGCAACGAGAGGAGAGAGAGAGAGAGAGAGAGAGAGAGATGAGAAAAAAAAAAATAAGAGAGGAAGAGAGAGAGCGAGAGGAGAGAGAAGAGAGAGAGAAGAGAGAGAGAGAGAGAGAGAGGAGAAATAAAGAGAGAGAGAGAGAGGAGAGAGAAGGAGAGAGCGCGAGTGAGAGAGACGAAGACGATGAGAGAGTGAGAGAGAGAGAGAGAGGAACACAGAGAGAGAGAGGGGAAGAGAGAGAGAGAGAGAGAGAGAGTGAGAGAAAGAGAGGGAGAGATGGAGCCCAGAAAGGGGGGAGTGACAGAGGGAGAGGGAGAGGGAGGGGTAAGAGGAGTGACAGAGGGAGAGGGAGGGGCAAGGGAGAGGGAGGGGTAAGAGGGGGGGAGAAGGCATTAGGGGAGTAAGCAGGGACGAGACATGAGCGTCCGATTTATATACAAACAGATACCAGCAGCAGCAGCAGGGCCGCGTCGTGCTACTGTCGCTGGGGGCGCCCTGCCGCTCGGCGCCCCCAAAAAAATCATGAGAAACAGATGGGGATGAAGACTGAAATCATCGTCGTCGTCGTCGTCTACGTCGTCGACGAGGGGGAAGGCAGTTCTGCTTCTCAAGCAGGCGGAGCGCCGGCGGGCAGGCGAAGCGACGGCGGGCGACGTGGCCACTGCTCGCAGTGGCGGCGGCACCAGCGCTGCAAGCGAGGGAGGTCGTTCGCTTGTCCGCGACCTCCCTCCTCGCCAGTCCGCACGGCCTTCCTCCTCCTCTTCCTCCTAAGTCCCCCTCTCCACCTGACGTCCATCCCGTCTAACGAAGAGGGCCGTCAATGATGGGGAGGGCCGTCATCATTTTTGACGGCCCTCCCGTCAGTCACGGCCCTCCCTCCCTCCATAGTGATATCGCCTGGGGCCCCCGGCAGCAGGGGCGGCCGATCGCTCGCGCGGCCTAGGAGACAGCTCGCGGCGGCCTAGCGGATATCCACATCGGATACGCTGTCCTTGCCCTCCTCGTCCTCGTCCTCGCCGTCGTCGTCGACACCCTTCTTGTCCTTCGCGGTGCTCTCTTTGCCGCCCCTGCTGCATTTGGCGCCCTTGCCACCCTTCGCGGCGAGCCTGCGGATCTTATCCACCAGGTTCTCAGTGCCGGTGCCCTCGTCGTCACCGCCATCGCCGCCTTCAGCAGCGGCCGCCCCCTTCTTGCGCTTCCCCGTCTTCTTAGGATCCTTCTTGTCGTCGGGCTTGCCCTCGCTGGCCTGGGCGTTGTTCTTGAGCACCAGGTTGGCGAACTCAGGGTTGTAGCTCGGGTCCCCCTCCTGCATGTAGGCCTTCATGGTCTCGCGGTACAGGTAGTCATAGGCCCCCTTCATGTGCTCCTCGTTCAGGGCGATCCCGCAATACGGCACCTAGGGCGATCTGGCATGCAAGCATAGGTTGATGTACATTGGAGAGGCCTCGAGACGCTTCCCCCGACCCTGAACGACAACGCGACGACGACGACGACGATGACGACGACCCCCTGGCAACAGCTCCCCCGCATACTGTTTCTCATCCTTCTGCCCCCCCTGAATGAATGAAGGGGGCACCTCAAGGACTGGTTAAACCTCCATGTCCTCCTCCTCCTCCGCCTCCTCCTCATCTTCCTCCTCCTCCTCCCCGCTCCTCCGCCCGGCGGACGCTCTCGGCGAACGCTCTCGGCGGTGCGAAAATGCCGCGACCGGGAGGGGCTCGCGGCCCCCGCCGATGCGGGGAAGGAAGAGGTCGTCGTCGTCGTCGTCGTCGTCGTCGTCGTCGTCGTCGTCGGTCGCCCGTCGTCGTCGTCGTCGCGGTTGCCCTATTGAGACGCTGCGATGGGAGGAGAAGGTGGAGGAGGCGGAGGAGGAGGAGGACCCAAAGACCTTGAAGCGGATCGCCGTCATGGCGAGGCTCGCGTCGCCTAGCGTCAAGGCGACAATCGATTTCAAATTGAAGTCGCGCTTCCACTCGTCGGAGAGCTGGGGCGGGGGCGCGAACCAGAAAACGGGCTCCACCGTCTCGGGCGTCTGGGAAAGGGCATCTAACTTGTCAAGGTTCTTATCCTCCTGGGTGTCCTCGCCTGGCCCCCCCATCAAGGCGATTTCTTTTTTCCCGATTATCATCTTCTTATCCTTGCGCTTCATCGTCCACAGCGAAGGGTTGTCATGGGCCCTCCACCCCACGAATATGTGCTCACCGTTGCTGGTCCCGCTGTAGTGCAAACGTGTTTTGTCCTCTATGACGAGCGGCTTCCTCGTGAGAATGAACATCCTCTCCACTTGCATCGTCCCAGCCGTGTTCTTTCTTTTGACCTCGTCTGAGAGGGGGAGGTCATGGATGGAGGAGGCCCCCCGCAACTCCTGCTGCAGCAGAGCTCCGGCGGATGGGGAGGGCCGTGGGAGAAAGGAATGGGGAGGGCAAAGGACGAGGTGGGGAAGGGGGGAAGGTGGAGGAAGGTGAAGGAGGGAGGAGGTAGGGCGAGTGAGGGAAGGGATGAGGTGGGGAAGGGATGAGGTGAGGGAGGGAGGGCGTCGTCGTCGTCGTCGTCGTCGTCGTCGCCCCTATCCGAGGGCGTCGTCGTCGTCGTCGTCGTCGCCCCTATCCGAGGGAGCGAGGGGGGGGGGGGGGCGAGGAGGAGAGAGCGGGGCAGAGGGACGGGGTTGAGTCCAGCGTGACCTTCAACCTGGTCATGATGGACTCCTCGCTGTAGTTGATGTAGACAACGTGTTTATCTTTCTTCAGTTGTTTGCCTGCTGGGGTCCTGAAACTGTCCATGAGCGAGGCCTCGGACCCCTGCTTGCCAGCGTCGCAAACAAACCAGGCGACCTTGTCTGGGAGTTCGGGGGTGTTCTCATCATCGCCACCAGGCGGGAACGCGGCCAGCGCCGCACCTACCAATTTCTTCATGTGATTGCTCTGGAGGTAAGCAATGCGGGTGTGGGGGCGGCTCGACGCCTGGCGAGCCACTTTCGAATCGTAGAAGACCCCGATGTATGCAGGCTTGCCCCCGGCAATGGCAGCGTCCACCAGCTTCGGGCCCTCGGAGATCGCGACGGAGGCCTTCAACATCTCGACGAGTTCGCTCTCGCGCTCGGGCTCTGGGAACCTCAGTCTCTGGCCCCCGCAGTGCACTCTAGAAGAGGGCCCCCCTCGGCCATCTCGCAAGCCACCTAGGGCCTCTCAGCCATCTTGTCGTGACCAACTCGTCGTCGCAGTGGCCGGGCGCGGCTCGGGGAACTGGCCCGCTTGGGCCCCGGGGGGGGCCCGAAGGAAGGGGGTCCGAGCCTGCCAAGAAGATGGCTGAGAGGCCCTAGATGGGGTCGCTGCCTGTCTGACCGTCTTGGTTGTTGTTGTTGGGCGCTGAGACACCGTCTAGTGCCCACTCAGAGGGGCGTCTTGGACCGCCTTGGGCGCTGAGACGCCGCATTGGGCCCAAGAGGGCCCAAGACGGCGGTGATTTCGCTTAGGGCGCCCCTTAGAGGTCGACGTGTTTTCACCGCACTCTTCTTGGCATCGCTCTTACTTGGAAGGCCTCGGGGTGGCCCATCGGACCCCCAACAGGGCGGCCCAGGAGGGCCCCGAGATATTCCAGCATGACCCAATATGGCGTCCAAGAAAGCCAAGTGCGGCCCAGGATAGCTCCAGGGCCGAATCGGACCTCTTCTCGGGCCAATCGCAGCGCCATCAGTCCCACGGGGCCTCTTCGGACCGTCTGGAGGAAGAAAAGCGCGGAGGCCTGGGGGTGAAGGGGGGAAGAGGAGGAGGAAGGGGAGGGGGAAGAGGAGAAGGAGGAGGAGGAGGAGGAGGAGGAGGAGGAGGAGGAGGAGGGGGAGGCGTAGGAGGGGGAGGAGGAGGAGGAGGAGGAGGAGGAGGTTTACCCAGCAGTCCTAGGCGGCGCGACCGCCGAGAAAGGCTAAGTCCGCTGCAGCTGGACCAGCGTGCGGACCCCTCCCCCCTTTCCCCTTCTTTCCCCCCGTTTTTCCCCCCCTCTCACTTTTCTTCCCCCCCCCCTTACTTTCCAGCATCGAAGATGTCCCGCTTGTGCTTGGCAATCTTGGCGCTCGTGGACTCGTCCATGATGTTGATGCTGATCGTCGCGTTCGTGTGGCTGACAATGTTTATCTCCTCTGCCGTGGTAGTGTGCTTGACCGCCCCCAGGTCCATTTCAGGTTCCTGATCCTCATCATCCTTCTTGTCTGAGATGGCCTGGCCAGTCTCCTGTTTCCACAGCGCCTCAATTTCCTCGAACTCTTCAGGGAAAGGGGCCTCCTCGATCATGCTGCTCGCTGATTTCCGAAAAACAATGGAACGCTTCATGTACTGGTCGTATTCGGTGCCGTAGACGGTCTCCTCCAAGAGGCGGAAACTCTTGATCGCGCTATCCTTCCAGGTGGCCCGCCACGTCCCATTGAGCCTCGAAGACGGGAACCCGCACTGGTTGCGGTAGGACTCGTGCGTGGCAAGAACTTCCGACAACTTCTGGAACGCATCAGGGTTGCAGTAGGGGGACAACTTCTCCAGCAAGATATCTTTCGCTTGCTTCCTGAACAGGGCGAGCTCCGCAATGCCCTTCCCGTTCATGCCCGGCGACTGGCCTTTGAGCGCCCTCTCGCTGATGGAGTCCCCGAGGTAGCCACATTTCCATGAGTCGTAGAGGCTGTGAAATACCCACTTCATGTCACTCACGCCTTTTATCTTCTGGTTGATAGCTTCGATCTTGGCGACTGAATCGAATGGATTCTTGGCCCCATCCCTGTCGTCGCACTCCAGCAAGAATTTTCGCAGATCTGGATGTACAAGCACGCTCTTGTGCACGCGAATCGCCTGGGTGATGAAGGTGGTAGACACGGACTCCGAGCTCTCTGCCATCTTGACCTTCTCCTTGTAGAGCTCGGCCATCTTCTCCACGGTGAGCGTCACCCCCGTATTCGCCTCGTGCTTGCCCTTGAACATGATGACCTCGTAGAGCCGCTGCAAACTGGACCGGCGCATGGAGGCGAAGTCATGCGCGATGTTCTCCCGCTGGTTCACCGCTCTCCAGTGGAGCTCGTCGTCGTCCTCGACGAAGGAGAACCTCGGCTGTCGTCGTCGTCGTCGCCGTCGTCGTCCTCGTCGTCCTAGTCGTCGTCATCGTCATCGTCGTCGTCGTCGTCGTCGTCGTCGTCGTCGTCGTCGAAGTCGTCGTCGTCGTTGTCGTCGTCGTCGTCGTCGTCGTCGTCGTCGTCGTAGTCGTCCTAGTCGTCTTAGTCGTCCTAGTCGTCGTCGTCGTCCTCGTCGCCGTCGTCGTCGTCGTAGTCGTCGTTGTCGTCGTCGTCGCCGTCGTCGTCGTCGTCGTTGTCGCCGTCGCCGTCGTCGCCGTCGTCGTCGTCGTCGTCGCCGCCGCCGGCGGGCGGCGCGACCAGCGGTCGGTCGAAGGCAGGTCGATTGGAGGGAGGGGAAGAGGAAGTGAGGAGCCTCCTCCTCCTCCTCCTCCTCCTCCTCGAGCGGCCGAGCTGCCGACAAGGTATCGGAGATCGGGGATCGGGGATTTGGGGATCGGGGATCGTCCGATTGACGATCGATCGCGCTGGGGGCAGGACTTAACCGTGGTAGACAACAACGACCTCCTCCATCTTAGCAAGACATCATCGTCCACCTTGTTGTCGATGTCGCGTTTGATCGCCAAGTAGATGGCCATCCTCATCTCCTCGGGGGTGAAGCTCTTGAGCTGACCTGACTTGCCGAGCGCTGCGGGGTCCGCGCCCTTCGGGATGGCGATCTGCACGATCACTGGGACGAAGTCGGGCTGCGAGAAGTAGTGCTGCACCAAGTGGTCGATGGCTGCCGGCTTCAACGGAATCCCCGGCGTGGCGGAGAAGTGGGGATCCACGCCCATCAGGTTGAAGCCGCACGTGTAGTTCCCAGTAGCTTTCATCGCCCGCTCGAACTCTTGACTGTTGAACGGCTGAATCTGACCCACCGTGTTGGCGTCATCGCCAGCGTGTATGTCTAACGCGCAGGCGTCCATGATGTTGAAGAACACGGGATTGTCGATGATGGCGCGTTTGGCCTGGGTGACACGGTCGTGAACCTGGGCGTTGCACGCCCGCTCCTCAGGGGACAAGAGGTCGATTGCCTGAGCCCCCCCTCCACCGCCGCCGTCTGGACCAGGCTCCGCATGCGCCTTCGGCTTCGCCTTTGGCTTTGCTCTCGGGGGCATCGCAGCGAGGCTCCAGGACGAACTGCTGCTGCAGCAGCAGCAGAGAAAGAAAAAGGGAAGTTGCGGCCTCATCCGCTGCGCCGCAAAGCGGCCGAGGAGCCTTCCTTGATCGAGAAACCATTGCGGGTGGAGAAGGATGGGGGCGGGGGAAGGCGGCGGGACAGGGGAGGAGAAAGGGGTGGGAGGTTGGAGGAAGAGGGAGGGGGAGGGGAGGACGAATGGGGGAGGGGACAGTAGAGAGCGGGGTGGAAGGCGGCTCAGATGGGGCCGATGGCTCTGGGCGCGACGGTTCGGCATCGCCCGAGAGCTCCACGACGGTTCCAGACTCAGGTGGCCAGATAAAAGATGGGGTCGAAGGCGCCAGACCATTTCGAGCAACCTGATGATGATGCTGTCGAGAACTCCAAAGCCACATGGGGTCGAGGGCTCCAAGGCCATATGGGGTCGAGATGGGGTCGAGGGCTCTGTTTTTTTCCCGGAAAGGGCACGGGCCCAGGGTTCTCTTTTAGTAGGTAAACCTGTCCCCCGGTGCCAACTTGAAGGAGGCCGGCGAATTTTTTCCCTGATAAATAACGAGGTCGAAGGAGGCCGGCGAATTAAAATTTGAGGATGTCTCGAGCGAAACGCTTGTTTTTGAAAACCCGATCGATAAATCACAGGGTGCGGGACACTTTTTCGTGTGTTGAGGATGTCTCGAGCGAAACGCTTGCTCCGCAGAGTTTGCCGAGGATGTCTCGAGCGAAACGCTTGTTTTGCAGAGCCGACCGCGACGCGGAAAAGCGCCCCGCGCGAAGGAATTTCGATGATGTCTCGACTAATTCGTTTGTTTTTGTACGATTTCTTGAATTTTGGCAGGATGTCTCGAGCGAAATGCACGACCCCACCCTAGCACGACCATACCCCAGCACGACCACACCCCAGCACGACCAGACCCCAGCACGACCCCACCCCAGCACGACCCCACCCAGCACGACCATACCCCAGCACGACCACACCCCAGCACGACCCGACCCCAGCACGACCCTACCCCAGCAAGACCACACCCCAGCACGACCACACCCAGCCACGCCTCACCACAGCACGACCCCACCCCAGCACGACCACGCCCCAGCA